AAGGCGGATGGTAACAGGAGGCAGGGGACACGATATTTTCAGGTTCGGCCCCTCTTGATGGAGGTAAAACCCTACGTCCTGCTTGATTATTCTTGATAATATGAGTAGTACAAGAGTTGATCTATCACGAGATCAGAGAGGCTAAACCCTAGAAGCTAGCCTATGGTATGATTGTATGTTGTCCTATGGACTAAAACCCTCCGGTTTATATAGACACCGGAGGAGGCTAGGGTTACACAAGGTCAGTTACAAAGGAGGAGATATCCATATCCGTATTGCCTAGATTGCCTTCCATGCCAAATAGAGTCCCATCCGGACACGGGACGAAGTCTTCAATCTCGTATCTTCATAGTCCAACAGTCCGGCCAAAGGATATAGTCCGGCTGTCCGGAGACCCCCTAATCCAGGACTCCCTCAACCGTTCTTACCTACGCATAAAACCACAACGGTGTTTCATCAAGTTTGCTGTTTTAACCTTCTTCAAGGACCGGCCGTAGTCAAATTCGATTCAACTAAAATAGGAGAAACAGACACCCGCCAGTCACCTTTATGCAAAACTAGTTGCATGTCTGTCGGTGGAACCGGTCTCATGTGCGTGGACATGTAAGGTTGGTCCGGGCCGCTTCATCCGACAATACCGTCGAATCAAAATAAGACGTTGGTGGTAAGCAGTATGACTATCACCACCCACAACTCTTTGTGTTCTACTCGTGCATATCATCTACGCATAGACCTGGCTCGGATACCACTATTAGGAAACGTTGCATGAAAAACAAAAAATATATACGGACACGCAAGATCTATCCATTGAGATGCATAGCAATGAGGGGGAGAGTGTGTCTATGTACCCTCGTAGACCGTAAGCGGAAGCGTTAGACAACGCGGTTGATGTAGCCGAACTTCTTCGTGATCCAATCGATCAAGTACCGAACGTACGACACCTCCGCATTCAACACACGTTCAGCTCAGTGATGTCCTCGCCTTCTTGATCCAGCAAGACGGGCGAAGTAGTAGATGAGTTTCGGCAGCATGACGGCGTGGTGATGATGATGGTGATGTGATCTCCGCAGGGCTTCACCTAAGCACTACGAAAATATGATCGAGGGAGTAAATGGTGGACGGGGGCACCGCACACGGCTAAGACAATGTTGTATCTTGTGTGGCGCCCCCTCCCCACATATATATAGGTGGGAGGGAGGGAGGAGAAGCCAAAGGAGGCGCCCAAGTAGGAGGAATCCTACTTGGGGTCCCTCCCAAGCCGCGCGCCCCTTTCCTTGTTTGGAGTGCGGGGAAAGGCAGCGGAGGGTGCCCCCCTTTCCTTTCTCCCATGAGAGGGAAAGGTAGGAGGGGCGAGCCCTCCCCCTTTTTCCTTACCTAGGGCTGGACAAACAAGGGAGGGGGCGCACCAGCCCCCTTGTGGGCTGGTCTGTCCCCTCCTTTGGCCTATAAGGCCCATAACTTGCCGGGGGTGCTCGGAACCCCTTCCGGTGACCCGATTCCTTCCCGGTACGTCCCGAAACACTTTTGGTGTCCAAATACCATCGTACTATATATAAATCTTTACCTCTCGACCATTTTGAGACTCCTAGTCATGTCCGTGATCTCATCCGAGACTCCGAACAACATTCGGTCACCAAAACATATAACTCATATAACACTATATCATCAACGAACGTTGAGCGTGCGGACCCTACGAGTTCAAGAACTATGTAGACATGACCAAGACACCTCTCCGATCAATAACCAATAGCAGAACCTGCATGCCCATATTGTCTCCTACATATTCTACGAATATCTTTATCGGTCGAACGTTATGACAACATACGTAACTCCCTTTGTCCATCAGTATGTTACTTGCCCGAGATTCGATCGTCGGTATCTTCATACCTAGTTCAATCTCGTTACCAGCAAGTCTCTTTACTCGTTCTGTAATACATCACCTCATGACTAACTCCTTAGTCATTTGCTTGCAAGCTTATGATGTGTATTACCGAGAGGGCCCAGAGATACCTCTCCGATACTCGGAGTGACAAATCCTAATCTTGATCTATGCCAACTCAACAAACACCTTCGGAGATACCTATAGATCATCTTTATGATCACCCAGTAATGTTGTGACGTTTGATAGCACACAAGGTATTCCTCAGGTACCGGGAGTTGCATAATCTCATAGTAGAAGGAATATGTATTTGACATGAAGAAAGCAATAGCAATAAAACTGAATGATCATTATGCTAAGCTAATGGATGGGTCTTGCCCATCACATCATTCTCCTAATGATATGATCCCGTTATCAAATGACAACACATGTCTATGGTTAGGAAACCTTAACCATCTTTGATCAATGAGCTAGTCTAGTAGAGGCTTACTAGGGACACGGTATTTGTTTATGTATTCACACATGTATTTAGGTTTCCGATCAATACAATTCTAGCATGAGTAATAAACCTTTCTCATGAATAAGGAAATATAAAATAACAACTTTATTATTGCCTCTAGGGCATATTTCCTTCAAATACATCGAGAACTTTTATGGTTGTGTTCTCGTTTTCACCGACCAGTACCTGTTTGAAATTTGCACTGCACAGACAATAAGAGAAATATATCGCTTTTAAAAAGAAGACAGGGACCGCAATAGAAAGTGATACTTGCAAACACCCTTGATATCCAAGGCTTTGAATACCGCAATAGCCACCCGTCGCTAGCAACGATATGTAGTAACCCTTAAAGAACATTGGCTAGGGAATCACCCCAATTAGTGTAGGCTTGCAATCATTCACAACAAATCCATAGGGGGTAGAGAAACTGATCTTACCACCAAACAAAATAATAAAAAGAAGAGATTGAAGTCGTTGTGTCAAAAACCAACCAAGTGACTTCCCTAGTTGACACACCAACTTTCAAGATCTGAAGTGCAGATCTAACAAAACTTATCCTCACAGGTTCTTTTCCAACACCATATCAAATGTCGTCAAGGTAAGGACACACCAAAGCGATCTTATTACAACACGTTATTGTTGCCATTACCTCATCAATGCCATAAGAGAACCAAAATCTAAGGTAAATGATGACACACTTGAAGTAAAGTTAACAAAAGGGACGTGCCCTCACTCTATTGGCCGCCTACGAGGTCGGTAGATGGAAGAGAGGAAGGTGATCGAGAGGCGGCACGAAGGAAATTTAGGTGTCAATTAGAGCAACTCCAACGGGGTGACCCATTTCGTCTGCGAGCGTCCGTTTGGGTCGGCGCAGACAGAAAAGAAGGCCCAACGCGCCGACCCAAACAGACGCGCGTCCGCTTTTCGTCCGCCTGCCGACCCATTTCCGGCCCATTATGTGAGCCGGATTTGTGTCTACACGGACATGAGACGGACGCGCGCGCCTGCCTACTCCTCCCCCTGGACCGCTGGTCGGTGGCACATTGACCATCCTCTCCCAATCCAACAACAAACCCTAGCCTGCCTCCTTCGTCACCGCCGCCGCCCAATTTTTCCGGTGACTCTGCCAGCCGCCGGCACCGCAACATCCCCTTCGCAACGCCACCACCTCCCACGTCACCCGCCACCGCCGTCTTGCCACCGGGGAACCGAAAGCTTCCCACCTTCGCTCCCCCGACACACCGCGACCAAGAAGCCGCCTCGCCGCCCCGGCCAGATCCTCACCGACACGCTCGTCGGATGCCGGCAGGGCTGCTAGCTGGTCTGTGTGCGTCGCGACTCCCTTCGCCGGCTGTCTCCTTCGTTGACGCCTGCAAGCTGTTCGACAGTTTGCCAAGGTACAAAATGGACTCCGCCGACGAGTTCTTTTTTCACAATTTTCTTTGTGACTCTAACGATTCGTCGTCCGATGACGAGGAGGAGATTTTAGCTGCCGTGTTGGTCCATCACCACCTCATTAGCCAGCGCCCGACGTTTCGTGGCTCCATTCCGGGCCACCTTCCGGTGTTGAATCGCAATTGAGAGAGCGAGCATTTCCTTCTTTGGAAGGACTACTTTGACACAACAAATCCGTGGGACTATGGGAGGTGATGATTGCTTGTGTGATCATGCACAATATGATCGTAGAAGATGAGTGTCCAGAACGTCTGTACGATCAAGGGTTTTAGTTTCAGGGTGAGAATGTTGTGCCTGAGCATGGAGGAGCAGCAACGTTTGAACAGTTCATCCAATTTCATCATGACATGCGTGATTGGAAAACTCACATGCAAGTGCAAAATGATTTAGTTGAGCATATGTGGGCTCTGGCAACCAATTCGGCTTGCAAAACTATGTGAGACATTTTTACTTTTATTTGGCTTGTAAAACTATGCTATTTTTGTGTGTGGAAACTATGCTATTTATTTGGTTGTGGACTATATGTTTGCTTTTGAAATAATGCAAAAATTGTGTGTGAAACAATATAAATTTTATGCTATATGATAAAAAGGGCGGCCAGCCGGCCACGCCGGCACATATGGATCGGCGCGTTGAGTACATTGTCGACCCAAATCTCAAACCAAGCGGACGTCGGGCGGGCGGCCGACCCAAACGAACAAAAAACGAACAAAAGCGCCGTCCATTTGAGTCGGCGCGTTGGAGTTGTCCATTTGAGTCGGCGCGTTGGAGTTGCTTTTAGGGTTTGGGATGGAAGACATTGAAGGAACATTGACGGGGGAATCACCCAAGCAGTGGAGTAATTATTTTTTACAGTAATCTCAGCGGTAACCTGTCTAGCTGACTAGAGGAAAGAATAAAGCAGGGAAGCTTCCAATCTCAAACCGCGTGGACACGGTATCAGCAACGAACCCAACCCAATATCGGGATGCCTTGCTGACGAATCAACTAACCCACCAAAACCAATCCGCGTCAACAGCTCAACACTCATCTCCTCTGCGCCGTATCTAATCCTCCACCATCCGACGCGCAAGAAGAGGGAGGGGAACATCCAGATCGATCCGTGGGACTCACAGTCCAGCCCAATCCAAGCAGCCGGCCGGCCGGATCCGACCTCCGCCCGCCGCCATGAGCTTCCTCTTCGGCAAGCGGAAGACCCCAGCTGGTTCGTATCTCTCCCCCCCCCCTCCTCCTCCTCCTGGATTTCGTGATCCTACTTGTTTTCCTGTGCTACCAATCCGGAGGGACCAGCAAATTCCACGCCCTTTTACCTTGTTGTGGACAAGCAATCGGCCCGCCTGTGCCTCATCCAAAATAGAAGTTTGCTATGGCGTTAATCTCGCTCGGGTGCTTCCACCAAACCCTAGCTCTGGCGGGAACCTCATGTGCAAATTGTAGTACTAGTATCTTTATTGACTTGGTTGAGTACTGCGCTACCAGGATGCAAGAGAAACCTAACCTGTGGGGGAATCTTCTTCTCCTCTTTAGCTGTTATAATCTTGTCTAGGTTTGTGTTCAGTTTTCACCTGTTACTGTCCAATGGGACGCCGTTAACAAGCAAGCAATGCAAGGGACATGAATATTGGTTTGGAGTTACTTGATTACACTTGTTCCTGTAAATTCTCTACTTGATTTGCTGAAGAAACCAAATAACTTAAGAAACTGGGCCCCTCTAAATTGTAATGCTACTGCTACCTATTTACTTTGGTGTTGATTTCCCCAAGACTTCGGAATATGGGGGACACAAGACAACGTTGGAGGTTAGCTCCCCTGGGTTTTATGCCAGAAAGAGCTGACATTGTTCTTTTGTTTCGTTGATGGCAGAGCTGCTGCGGGAGAACAAACGTATGCTAGATAAGTCCATCAGGGAGATCGAGAGGGAGAGGCAGGGCCTGCAGACTCAGGAGAAGAAGCTCATCGCTGAGATCAAGAAGGTGGCCAAGCAAGGACAGATGGTATGTACACTGAAACTGCAAAATCTCTCGTGTTCTATTGCTCATTTATAACCGACCTCCATAAAACTATGAAGATTAACTTGCAATCTGCATCTGTGGTAGCATAAGAAATACCAACTACTCGGCAAAGTGGCATTGCAGGGAACCTAGATGATACAATTATTCTTTTTTATCTTAGCACAATCTTGCAAGCATTGAACATCATACGAACACGCTTCCCTGCTACTGCCATAGTTTTAAGCTGTCACTGTAATTCATTCTTTGTTGGTAAGTTAATTGAAATATGGTGTGCCATTATCCTCGGGCTTGATTGTTCCATGATACAATAGGAAATCGTGTCTTCATGCACACAGCATTAATTCAGTCATGTTGATTTATCTATTTCAGACACAAAGTTTTACGTTGATGTCTCCTGAATAGGATAAGCCAATTTTGTGATGGGAATCTTAAATTTGTAGGTCATAGGATGTGTGTCTGCCACTTAAGTTTTTTTCTGTGTTAAATTGTTCATATTTTAGGCAATAGGCTTTGCAAGTTAACAGAACGTGTTTTGATTTGATGGACATTGTTCTCAGGGAGCTGTAAAAGTTATGGCCAAGGACCTTATTCGCACAAGGCATCAGATCACGAAATTTTATGCCCTGAAGTCCCAGTTGCAAGGTGTATCTCTTCGTATTCAGGTAGCGTTGTAATCCAAGCAGACGCTGTATATTTCATACATTTAGATATGTGCACATTCTACAATGTGATGAGGTCAAGCGACAGTAGGCTTCATTATATTGTGGAAACTCTGTTTTTCTCATTGCTGACGTTCGCGTGCTAAATTTTTATAGACCCTGAAATCAACACAAGCAATGGGAGAAGCCATGAAGGGCGTCACAAAAGCCATGTCACAGATGAACAGGCAGATGAATCTACCAGCACTCCAGAAGATAATGCGGGACTTTGAGATGCAAAATGAGAAGATGGAAATGGTCAGCGAGGTTATGGGTGATGCCATCGACGATGCCTTGGAGGGTGATGAGGAGGAGGAAGAAACAGAAGAGCTAGTTAGCCAGGTCCTCGATGAAATCGGCATCGACATCAACTCTGAGGTAAGATTTATCCCTGTATTTTCGTGTTGATTCTATCATAGAGATTGAAACACAAGGATGAGACAGTGGGATACGAGTGACATTGATATTTTGCTCCGAACCCAGCTTGTCAAGGCCCCGGCTACCGCAGTCGCCATGCCGGTTGCAGCGGGAAAAGCGCCTGTTCAAGCTGAAGCTGCGGGCGGGATGGACGGTGGAATAGATGATGACTTGCAGGCACGGCTTGATAACCTGAGGAAGATGTGAGCACTGGACTCTGACGGATTGTCCACGCCCGCAATTCTCTGCCTGTAGTTTTGTACCATAAATGCCACTCCGGCAAATCTATTGACGTATCATTTGCAGTGTGTTTGGCATTGACCATCTGTATATAGACATATCATCATATTTTCAATAAATCACATACTAGGCTTGGTCTTTCTAGCTCCATTTGCCTCTATCTCGTCATGATTCTGAACATTGAGATGAAATAGCAGGAAAGTAGTGACCTAAACGGTGGAAAATGCATTGCAGCTCTCGGGTGCAACACACCCCTATATGAAAATAGCATTTAAAAAAAATATCAGGAAATTTCGAAAAAATCTCGAATTTTGGAATATGAAATCTGAGTGGCGTAGGAATTACATCCCGACATACATTACATTTAGTTTTTTTTCTACACATACAACTTTTTTGTCTTTTTTACTGGCATTATCACGGTCACCCATTCCTCACGAAACTGAACCCGTGTGTACAACAGGCACCCGCGTTTTATATCCAAAATCTCAAACAAAATATTCTTAATACGTTTTCTAGTGCTATATTCATATAGGGTGTGTCATTGTGTGGCACCCGAGAGCCACAAATCGTTATCCCCTAAACGCTTTTATATTTCTTTAGAGAAGGAGTATTACTCATCTTCCTTATTTTGTTGGCCATGAGTTCTAATGAGGCGAGCGATAAATGGCAATCAGGGCGAAATTGCTAATCCCACGGACCGGAGTTCATGGGCTCCTTCCTCTAATTCTCTCCGCCCCCTCTAATTTTTAGGTGGGTGGGGCTCCTCCCTCCCTCTTGAACCAATCACCATCTGCCAAGTCATAACGACCCTGTAAAATCCTTGTAATGATCTGTGAATGTAGCGTTACTCGGCATCATGGTGTATCACAAGTAAGAATTCATAAATCCTCATTAAACAGACAACTTTCAAACTGGTTTCTCTACTTGCACTCGAAGCAAACACACAACGACTGCCGTCACTCCGTGGAGGTGGCCTTGACCGGAGACCTTGCTGGTGATGGCGGCGGTGGCGCGGTGCGGCAGACCGGGCAGGTGGTGTTGCGGCGCAGCCACTCGCCGACGCAAGCTGCATGGAAGTAGTGCATGCATGCCGGCAGCACCCTGACGGTCTCGCCGTCGGCGAAGTCGGACAGGCACACGGGGCACGTGGCCTCCCGCCACCCGTCTCCCCTCCGGTACGCGCACACCACCGCCTCCACCGACCGCACCTCCACGGCCACCTCCGCCAGAGGCTCGCCGTCACCGCGGCCCTGGGCTGGCTGCTGCTGCGCCTCACTGTCACTGGGCGGGCCTAGGATGTAGCGGGCCAGCCTGACGAGCGCGAGGACGAAGAGCACGCTGACGACGACGGCGACCCCGGCCGTGTAGGGCGTCGCGCCGTCATCACCGGGGCCGGAGTAGGCGTTGGAGGACATCGATCGACGACCGACGAGAAGGCCGCTGGCTGCTTTGGTTAATTTGCGAGACTAAATAGCCTAAGCCGATCGATCATGTGGCGTGCGGTGATTAACACGTACGCGCTACTTAATGGAAGAGTAACGATGGCTACGAGGCTGGCGACTTGTTATAATCGGCACCATCCGTCGAGATCGAGTGATGTAACGCTCTCCGTTTCTTAGTTTGTCGGATCCGGCCAGTCAAAAACTAGCTACGACGAGAAGGCTAGTTACATACGCAAAGCATTTATATTGATCTCATCTCATGTGATGGATATTCTGCTCTGGTGTAGTAACATATAGTAGTAGCACAAGCAGACTTGCACGCACGACGTTCATATATAGCTCGCGTCGTCGGAATTGCTCTTCTTGAGTCGCCTTGTTCTTTGGTAATTTCAACGTCGGAAAAATAAAATGAAGCCTGCACGTCACGACGTTTCTCAGGCACCAGTTACTAAACTAGAGAATGAACTCGAGGCACATGTTACGATGGTCACATATTCATGGTGCTGTGTTGTTACTGGTGTATATATACAATTACATTACACGGGAGGAACAGATTACAGGGGGAGAAAAGACAGCAATCGCGCAATGCGTGCACGGCGACCTGCGCTCACCGCGCGCCGGGCGTGTCGTTCGTGTGACGCGGTCCAGGTGGTTCAGGGGGAACTGCATTCATGTACGTGGTGTCACTCAGACGACACCGGATTCCGGCTCGGAGCGGCAGAGCGGGCAGGTGGCGCGCGCGCGCATCCACTCGCCGACGCACGCGGCGTGGAAGTAGTGCATGCACGCCGGCAGCACGCTCACGGCCTCGCCGTCCGCGAAGTCCGACAGGCACACCGGGCACATGGCCTCCCGCCACCCGTCGCTCCTCCGGTACACGCACACCACCGGCCCGGCCGCATGCACCTTCTTCAGCACCTGAGCAGGATCAGCACCGGCGTTGCTCGGGGCCGGACCACGGATCCCTTCCGGCCTCTCCTGCACCTGCAGGTGCGAGCACAACCTGTGGATCGCCTTGGCTAGCACCACGATGAGCAGGAATCCCACGAGGATGATGGACGCCATCGTGCGTCGCTCCAACCAGCCGTCGTCGGAGTTGGGTTGCTGCTGGCCGTACGTGTGGTCGCTGCTAGGCGTGGCCATGGAATAAGTCGACACGGCTATGCTATGCTATGCTACGAGATTAACAAGCAAACCTATAATTATGTGTGGTACGGTTACTACTTAAGGGTGGTGCGGCGGTAATTAGGGCATGTACAATGGTGCTATCTTAGAAGTGTCACGTAGGATAAATGATGAGGTGGAGGAGAGAGAACTCATAAGAGAAGGCTTGTCTTCTCTTATTTAAGATAAGACAAGAGATGATCTCTTAGCACAATATGTCTCACCACATTTTTAGGAATTGCTAGTTATTCAAGATAAGACTAAGAGATGACCCATTGTAGACATTTTTCTTTGTCATCTCTAAATTACGTGCAAAACTTAAGATAAGACTATCTTATCAACCATTGTACATGCCCTTACAAGAACAAATGGATCCATCAACTGCGCGTTGCCGATGGACAAGTAGTGCGTACTTCGTGCTCCAACTCCAATCCAACTCCAACAGATGTCATAGCACTCTCCGTATTTGTTTGAGATAAACACACTCATGGTCACTATAGTTGCGACCGAAGCACAATACGGTCACTGAACTTAGGAATACGCTCGATACGGTCACTTAATACGATGTGACATGAAAATACGGTCACTGTAGCACGTACACGGTGGGTAGGTGGTGGGTTTGATCAACTATTGACCGCCACGTAGTTCGTTTGGATTCGGCCAAATTTGCATGGAGTTCTTTTTTGTAAAAGAGCCAAATGCCCCATCCTCAAATCCCTAACCCGCAGCTCGTCCCTGTCAAATCCCTCCCGTCGTTCTGCCTCCCCCCCGTCGCTCTGCTGCGCCGCCGTCTCGTCGCTCTGCTTCGCCACACCTCGCCGCCGCCGTCGAGGAGGGCAGTTCCTTGCCCTCTGGTGGTCATGTCTGCCGCCAGCTCCTCCTCCTCTGCTATTCGCCGCCATGCACTAGCGCTGCCGCTGGCCCGCTGCCCGACCTGCAAGGAGAAGGTGCGCATGTACATCTCCACCACAGAGAAGCACGACAGATGGGTGTTTTATAAGTGCCAGAAGCATGGGGTAAGTTATACTGTTCGATTTACATTGTTGATGTGATTTGGCTTAGTTCTGGATCCAAAGATTGAAGACTTATTCACCCAATTCGTCTCTGGTTTGGATAGGTCACTTGTGATTTCTGGAGGTGGGAGTTGGAGTATGTTGAGCACCTAGTTGAGAAGTAGTATCTCATTGGCGATGCGGCAGTGGATGCTATTGGTGCGGCGGAGGAACGCAGGGAGGAACTTCTGAAAGCACAAGAACTGTTCTATATGAATGGATATGTCAGCAATGTGAAGAAGGTTTTGAAGAAGAATGACAGTGCCAATCTGATGACCAGGCAGCAAGCTTCTGCACTGATGATGCTTGGGAGAGAGCTGGTGATGCTCATGAAGATGCTGGTTGGTGTTGTGGTGGTGCTGGGTCTTGCAGGAATGGTGGTGATCATGCTGAAGAAGTGAAGATGATGATGTTCTGGTGTTGCTAGGTCTATGCTGGTGTCTTGTAATGGTGGTGTTGAACCCTGGTGCTAGTTAATTTGTGTCTTGTAATGGTGGTGTTGAACCCTGGTGCTAGTTATTTTGTGTCCTGTCTTGTAATGGTTGTGGTGAATCCTGGTGAACCCTGATGCAATGTTGGTGCTTCAACTCTTTTGTTTCAGCATTATGCAATGGAAAGTTAAGTGGTGGTGAACCCTGATGCAATACTTTGTGATGTTCTATTCATGATCATTGCATGATATTGTCAATTGATCAGTCCAGTTTCTTTGTGCCAATTTAAGTTAAGTGATAATGTACATGATTGTTGATGTGAAGTGCCAATTGGTGATCATCAACACTTTCTTTGTCCAATAAGCAGTAGCATGTGTTTGAACGTGAAGTGCCAATTGGTGATCAACATAATACAAGAATGGTTAAATTGTAGTAAATTTGGCATGAGAAGAACAACAAACATGATCATCCACCAAAATGGGTACACATCATCAGTCAAGAAGAGTAGTTAACATCATCATCCATCAAAATGAGTACACAAGTTCCATAAATGCTCATTTGAACACCTCCTACATGATCATAAACAGGCATATCTTTGAAAACTACCTAAAGATATCAAACATTGACAATCTTGCTAATTTGTTTGGATAATCAACTTCATTGGCTAGCCAGCTTGGGTTTCTTTTTGGAGCAGGCCTCTTCTCCAGCTGTTTCTCAGCAGCAGCAAGCTTCTTCTCCTCTTCTTTCTTAGCAGCAGCCAACTTCTTCTCTTCTTCTTTCCTAGCAGCAGCTTGTTTCTTCTCTTCTTCTTTCATAGCAGCAGCTTGTTTCTTCTCTTCTTCTCTCTATGCAGCAGCCTTTCTCTTCTCTTCTTCTTT